AGAGATTAAATGACAAATAGTAGCTAGTAGTAATAGCTAACTTTCATCCTATGTTTAGCATGCAAAATGATTTTTCTGATGTTTCCAGGTCAGTTTATGACTAATATTTAACTCACAGAATACTTTTTAGTGGGTGTTGGCGTTTCTTTCTCCCTAGAATTATAAAATACAGATTGGTAGCCTTGGCTCCCAGAGCTTCTAACTCAGTAGTTTAGGGTGCATCCTTAGATGCCACACCTAACACCAAGCTCACTCAGTTTGAGTTGAAGTTTTCTCAAAGACTCCAAGGAGTGTTATAACACTCCTAAAACGGCTGTAACAGTATAATTTTGACAACATATACAGATGTATGGACCTATTTTTCTTAAAAATCAAGTCATTCATTCTCTTACGTTATCCTTACAGCAATCTATACCCAAAAAAAAAAAAAAAAAAAAAAAAAGTTGGTAACTAAAGCAGTAATGGTTAATCCCACATTCCAAAACAAAAACCAAGAAACTCCCTCTGAGCACACAAGAAATCAGAAGAGGCAAAACAAGAAAGTGTCCTAACCCTGTCCACACAAGCGAATATGGCAGCACAGGCCGTGGTTCTGCTCCTCGACTGGTACTATAAAGACAGAACCATACCCAGGAGAAGAGAAGGCGATCCAAGACATGATTCCCTACAGCAAACATTTCTCAAGGGTTGATTGCCGATCGCTGCAGTGACTGCTGTAGGGACTAGAGAAGATAGTCATTAAAGAACAAGGAAATGACAGTGAGTTCTCTGCCTGCTTTGTCTTTTACTGACAGGACAGAAACCACAAACTGAGGAGTGTCTAGCGGGGTACATTCAGAATTGGGCTATGCGACTTCACATCTGGATTGGAGGAGTGGTCAGTCACTCAAGAATGGGAGGAAAAGACAGTACACAATAGAAGCCTCCTGGAGCTCAGGGCACAGAGAGCAGCTTTATCCACACTGGGTGTGTGTTTGCCAAAAATATCAGGGCTGCTGGAGCTCCAGAACTTACAAGGGCATGCTTTTGTGTAGCCTAAGCTACCTTGACTATATAAGAACTCTAGTTAGGGGGCATACTTCATGATCCATTTGTAGCCTAAAGATAACCTAATTGGAGGTCATAAATTTTCTCACTCTGACTTTTTAGAAGTATTCTTAATTGAAAGAAAGACAAAAAGAAAAAAAAAAGATCATAAACTGTGATCGCAGTCCTGCTACTTATCAAACAATCCTTCAATCCTTCAAAGAAGAGAGTACTGTTTTCCCTTTAATAAGGTTTATATATGATACTAATAGTAATTTTAACAGCAACGTTCCCATAGGAGCTGGTAAGCACAGAGTGAAAACAGAAAAAAAGAAATCTACAATTGATCTGAAAAAAGCTACGTTGAATGGCTTATTGCACTCTTGGATGTTTGACTGACTTCCTCTACACATCCATTATATAATCTAGTGCAATCATGGCAGTGGAGACATTTCCACCATTCCATTTAGAAAAAACGATAGCAATACTGTAAGGGGAACTATTCTTCCCAAGCACAAGACCAAAGAAATGCAAATCAAGGAAAATGGGTGCAATTTTACCCTGACCAAATACTAATAATTTGGTACAAACTGCTAGAAATCTGAAATTTTCCCAGTAAAAGAGGGAACATCCATATGCATTTTCATATATCATTTCTTTTTACCTTAACCTTTTAGAGAGCTACTATTACAGGCCATTTTGTAGATTATAAAGCTAAGTTCTTAGAAAATGTGCTACTTAACCAATATTCCCATTATATGTTATGGCTAGGTTTGAACCCAGAACTTCTAACTTTGAAAGCACCCATTTACAACCACACTGGAAAACAATCTTAAGGACATTGAGAAGAGGGGGAAAAAGAGAAGTAATAAAGGAAGCAAAAGCTCGGGGGGGGGGGGGGAAGGTTTACCTTCATCAGGATGGTCGTACTTTTTAATTACTGCAAAATCCCCAAATAGAAAGTTAGTTATAGGGGCATCCATTGCATAAGCAATTACAAAAGTATTGCCAATAAGAAAACTGTTTTTAAATGTTTATTAAAATCAGATTAAAGTATATCTGTAACATAAACCATATACAAATCTGTGTACGCATCAAGACCTGGAAGAAACTGAAATGGCCACTGCCATTTTAGGGTAATTTTGTCCTTCTTACTTAATCATCTATGGAGGGGTTTTATCAGTAAATCAAGATTATTTAAGTGCCTTCACAAATGTATCCTTCTAATTTATAATTTTAGCACACCAACCAAGCATTTTTAAGATTTTTGCTGTAATTCATTTATAGATTAGAACTCCCATCTTATAGCAACAATTTTTTGCAATCACTACCTACAGCATATTTTTTAAATCCCTTAACTGAGATCCTCGTAGTGACCCAAATTAGCTGCTTTTACTTTTACAACTTTGTAATCACTCTCCACCCAGAAATCAGAGTTCAGAGGCTGGGTATGATCTGAAGATTAGAAAGGTTTCCTACTAAGAATGTAAGTGCATATTTACACAGTAACCAAAATATCATAGCTGAAAGGAGTATTTATATTCTAAATACTCTTGAGAGTTGCTAATTAAATTGTCAAGATTCTTTGAGAAAGGTAAATGAGCTTTACTTCCACTTTACCAATAAAGAAAAATAACAGTTTGGGAAGGGTGGTTTTACTTAAAATAGCACCATGAATTGTAGAGAGAATACTCTCTCCAAGGTGACATGCAGAGACCCATTCCACTCCAGAGTTGGCCTCCACCAACAGAAAAAACAGATATTTTGAGAGAAAGGCCAGCCACTGTTCTCCAAAGATACTAAATCCTAAGAACAGAAATGTACTTCGAACATCTCAGCCTTTCCTTTATGAGTCTACCTCCAGAATACCTGTATCTTCCTCCTGTCTATCAACAGTGCAACTGGATATTCTTAGCTAGTCTTAGAACACCTTGATTACCTTAATAGAACGTAGGAGTCAACAGAACTTAGAACTTAAGACAATAGAGTTGGACAATAAAACTTAGGAATCAACAGGACCCTTGAAAAACCACATGGCAAATCCAACCCTGAGATAAAGAGATCTTAAACTTGGCACCCACATCCCTCTTGCTGTCTGTAGAGTGTGGGTGTGAGCATGCGTGTGTGGTATGTGTGCTACTGGAGAGGGCACCCAGGGTCTCAGATCAAGTCCTCTACCCTGAGCTATATCACCACCCCTTCAAAACGGTGTTACAGCTGCAATGTCAGTGAGAGAACACAAATGTCTACTTGGTGGTTTCTGAAAAAAAACAAAAAAACAAAAACAAAAAACATTGTGATAAACAGAGTAACTACCATTTGCTCTACTTCTTAGAGGTTCAAGATGGAGGGAAATAAAGGTCACGAAAATTAGCATGAGGAAAATGTGTTCTGCTTTGCACTTGATCTAAGATTTTTAGATTTCTAGCTGATTGTCAAAATAGTAAGTATCCACCATAGGCCAAATAAACTTTTGTCATCACAAGAGGACCTCAAATTGATAAGTGATACCGTTCATATGCAAATCCAACCAGATATGAGCAATCTTTACTTATATTCCAGTCCTTTCCTCCTCTATTTCTATAACGAATTTTCATTTTAACAGAAATTTACACATATAAATTGAGAACTGTGACTGCCTCACAGAGAAGTTATTGGGTGGGAGAGAAAGTTTAATTTGCACCGAATACTCTTCGATGTTGCTGGGAGTTGTTACCTAATTTCTATTAGTTCTCAGTATTAGAGTTTACATCTCCTTTTAAAATACTTATATGCATGTAATTTTACTCTTATTCAAAAACAGTAATATCTTGTTTCCTCTTTTAAGTGAGTTTTCCATACTGCATTTCACCAAAGTTTTCAAGAAGAAAAAAAAAAAAGATCAAAATAGTGAGTAAACTAAAGGCAGAATTTCAGATTTTACCAGAACACATCAGAGGAGCTAGTGGTTTTTAAGCGGAAAATTCAGTCAAACCCTTTTGAACTGCCTCATGTTTAAAAGGCTGTTTTAAAACAGGATTTGAGGAGGGTTTCTCAAGGGAGGCGGGGTAGAAAACCTCACGGTTTCAAAAGTAGAGAGAGGGGGGAATAATTATCTTAGCCAGGGACAAACGGGTCTGATCTAGGGTTTATAGAAGAAAAGGGAACGCGATAGAGAAGTCCCAGCACGACTTGTGCTTTCCCGCACAAGATCCCTGTCCTGCACGTTTCTCGGGCTTGGTTTCAATGAGAAACTCACGCAGTGAACCTACACAGATCATCTCCTTTTAATGAAGGTCAGAAGGAGGACTCCAGGAATCCAGAGACTTTAACAAACCGCCCACCTTCGCCCTGCCTGGCGAGGGCACACCTCACCTTGTTGTCCATTTTCACCGCCAGCTGTCAACGCCACCCTTTGTGCCTCATTCAGAATAAGAGCATTTCTGAAGCGCTCTCAGAGAAATGGAAAAGACGACCGGAAGACGCGCGTGTGGCGAAGTGACATTTGGCGTGGACCCCAGCGAACGCCTGACCCCGTCTGGCCCCTCTCAACTTTCCCAAGCCCGGCTCTACCCACCGTGCGCGCGGACACTTCCCCTTCTGGCTGCACGCTGTGCGCTCGGTGCTCGGGGACCGCTAGCCGTCCCCTCGTGCTCGGGGAGCGGCGGGGACGCGCCCCCTCGCCCCGCACCTCACCGGCCACCTCCCTCCCGCCACAAAGGCAGCAGCGGAGCCGGGGTGACAGGCCTGTGGCCGCGGGCGGCGAAGCGAGGCGGCCAGGGCCAGGGACCGGGATGGGGTTTCCCGCTGGCACAGGCGCCTGCCCGGCCGCACGACTCACTGCACACTCCCGCGCCGCCTCCCAGTTCCTCCAGAAGAAAGTCCAGGCGGCGCTGCCCTGCGCCGGCAAGGTGTCCAGCCGGCCAGAGGACGGGCCCTGCCGGCCACCGAGTCCCCTCGCCTCCCCGTACTCGCGAGTCCCCGCAGCAGCTCACCTGGCCCCAGCGGGAGCAAGGGCAGAGGGCCCGGGTGGTCTCCCGCAGCCAGGGGCGGCTCGGCGCTGCGCTCCGCTCCGAGGTGCTAACGCCGCGGGTGGCTGGCGTCTCTGCGGCAGGGCGGGCTGAGCGCTCAGTTCCCGGGGGCGGAGCGAGGCGCCGCTGCGGCCAGAGGCGGATTCCTCAGGTGCTGCCCCTCCCGCTCGCACCCCCCTCCTCTCTGTCCCCTTCTGGCCTGAGCGCCCGGCTACCTCGCCTTCTTGGGTGCCAAAGGCACCCCCACGTGTGCTGCGGAGTCCTACGTGCACAGTCTTCACGCTTGGGTTTGCAAACTCCAGCGCGCATATGATGTGTGTGGCCACTCTAGGGTAGTGGTGCGCTGGGGGTCTTCTGGGAAGGATTGCCCCCTAGTGCTCCTGAAGAGCGTGGCCAAGAAGCTCAACGATTTGCTCTCTGGATCCTAGTTCATTCAGAGTGCTCTCAAGTCACTGTGTGACTCCTTTGTCACTAGATAACGGCTAAAAGTCCCTTTGCATGGGCAATGATTGGTCAACAGCCCCTTGGCCTCTTGCATGAGGCGGGATAACAGGACACAGACAAACCAAACTCTCTCCAAGTGAGCTCCAAGTCAGAACAGATTTCTGCATCTCCCTGATGAGCACACCCTGGAGCTCGAGGACACTGGCCCGCATTCTCCATCTGTGGTTCCCAGACTTCCAGCTCCCCCTCTCCTGCAGAACCTCCTACAGACGACAGGGAAGTTTCCCCTAACGCAAGCACTTCCTGCAGGCCCGGGTTCTTAAAGGTTGCTACAAGGACCAAAAAAAATTGTGGAGGGATGCTGTGGCCGACAGTGACAGATGGTCGTTCCAGTTTTCACAGTTGGTGGCCTCTGGTATTGAAGCTGCAGCTCATTTTCTTGAACTGAAACGCTTGCCAGAGACATCATGACCACAGCTTCCAGTAGAAGCAGCTTCGTCCTGGATCTGGCAGAAGCATCATAGAACAGAAGAGTTGAGCCACTTTCGGTGCCCATAACACGACAGCCCCAATGAGCCACCTGTAGGTATGTCTTCATTGTTGTCAAGCGCTGTGGTCAAGCGCTGTGGTCATTGTCAATTGTAGTTGAAAAGACAATGATAATCAAACTATATCATATTCACATATGATCTGTAAGTCAGTGCTTATATTCTTCTTGCTTTTTACTGGGTTTTTTCCCCCTTAATTAAACCTCCCACCCCTTCTATTTCTTCCCTTGAACACTCAAGCTCTATCACATTTTTTTTTCTTTTTTTTTTTTTCCCTGAGACAGCGTTTCCCTGTCTAGCTTTGAAAGCTGTCCTGGAACTCACTCTGTAGACCAGGCTGGTCTCAAACTCACAGAGATCCGTCTGCGTCTGCCTCTGCCTCCCAAGTGCGGGGATTAAAGGCATGAGCCACCGCTGCCTGCCTCAAATTTTTTAAATTGTTTTTACATATATTCATGAATACTCCTAAATTTCTAAATGCATTTGCCTTGCTTTTTAAACTTTCCTCTTAAGCCAAAATAATTCTTCCACCTTTTTTTCTCTTCTGGTTGGTGCAGAAGGAATTGGCAGAGAACCAGAGACAACCCAAAGCGTGGGTCAGCATGAACAGTGAGGTAAGAGGTGTGTTTGCAGGGGAATTTTCTTTCTTCTTCTGCCTCAGGAAGGCAGGCTTAGCTGATTTTCTTTTTGAATCGTTTGTTCCATCAGGCCAGCCTAAGCTGTGTGGTGAGCTTCAGACTACCGTGGCTGCATAGCAAGTTACCTGTCTCAACAAAAAAGAAACAAGAAATAGCCAAGCAGATGGGAAACTTTCAGAAACTCCGTCATTTTGTGTCACACAAGTTCTAAATGGTCTTAACAATAATAACAACCCAGAGTCAGACATAGGGGTAAAAGCTGAAATATCAGAGAGACAAAGGAGCAAGTCACAGCCACATCTTACCTGGCCAACTTCCCAACAGAAAAGAGAATGAGCTCCTTTCTCCTCCCGCCTTTTATCCCTCTCTCCGCCCAACCACATCACTTTCTGTCTGTCTCTCCAGACCTCCAGGCCTCTATGGTTAGCTAGTGGCTAGCTCCAACCTCTGATCTTCAGGCAAGCTTTATTTGTTAGAGTACAAACAAAATATCACCACATGTCCCCTTTTTTGTCTAAAATTAAAAGGTTATAACTAATGTAAGAAAACTATATACAGTAAGTACAATATCTATATACAATATATAGGCAATAACTATATCAAAAATGGCAGAGTCCATTAGCAATTGACAAATTCAGAGAACATGCTTCATATCTATTATATCTTGATGAGTACAAAAGGGTGTACATAATTCACTTTCTATTCTAACTTGCATTACCAAAACTATCTTTTTATGTCTCTCAACCTTATACACTTTACATTTCTTTAGTGAATCTCAATCTGGTGACAAGGAAAACCATAACTATAAAGTTTTTAACTCTATCAGAGACTGGAGAAGGAAATAATATTACCTGAGTAAGCAGGAAGTGCAAGCAAGTAACTTCAAAAATATGTGAGAAATGGCAGAAACAGTTGGCTGCCTGGACAGTCGTCCAAGGTTACTCTGCAATGTTGGGGCATCCATCTTCAGCCTACAGGTCTAGCATATCTGACAGACTCTTCTGTGAAGCAGGCTATTCTGAAGGGCTGTACTAACTTGTCTTGGCAAAGTTCGGAAGTCACTTTCTTTTGTGTCCTTCTTCTCCAATTTGGACAGCACACTGTCAGCAGTTGAGGCAAGAACACTTTCTTGCCCAGTGGCTAGCTTTTGCCACAAACAAAGTAAATTCCATGTGGCGTTTCTTTGATGCCCATCATCTCCTCTGAAGTGGATTGGTGCTGTCAGGAACAGACATGTCTCATTGTCATAAAAAAGAAAAGATCCTATGTAAGTTTTAATGCAGATCTAAACATGTCTAATATGAATACAAGTTTAATTTTAATAGGTGACTAATTGCTAACCTGTATTTCCTTATTGTCCTAAACAGTTGCTAATAATAACTTTTGAGGGCTAAAAAACTTTTGCATTATATTGTTAAATGAGTTGCATAGGTGCAATGCCTTGAACAGGACTAGAAATGTATGTTCTAACAAAACAACCTCAAATTTGTATCACTATACTAAAAATCCAAGCCAATGTAAAATATTTAAAACTAGTAGTTGCTTTTTTGGGGTTAAAAGTAGCTTCAATAGTCTACATTTCTATCCTATTTCTATATTCCCCCCTTTCCTTTTCAGAGTAGATTCAGTAATCTACCCTTTATATACAATCATATCTATATCCCCATTTTTTTTTCTTTTCAAAACAAGAACTCTGAATCTAATCCTGACCATTACCAATAGCAACATGTAACCAAGCCTCCTAAACAATGACACATATCCATAACCCACTGAACAACCAAAAACCACCCACCCCACCTCTTGGGAATGTGGGTATTGTGTTCTCAAATTTACTTCCTGTTGTCTGGGGGTGACAGCATTCTTTAGGGTTTCCTTAAAAGAAAAATTGGGGTTAATTGTCAAGTGCTGGGAGAGGTAACCATCATGTGTTACCCACCTCTGCATGATGGGGGAAAAGTGCAGGACTTGTCTCAAGTCCTGGCTAGAGCAGTCTGTGAGGCTGGGTCATCTCAGCTGTATTCCTGACTATTTCTTATAACTGAATAAATAACAAAGTTAATTCTGATTCATCAGGAATAAATTCAGCAGTTTCAATGTGTAAAACAACTCTTTCTGCATATTGCAAATCAGTAACTAAGTTGAGAGGGTCTGTAAAATCCACTGATTCCATAAGAATAACTTATAATTCTGACTTTTAGACAGAATCATAAGGTCTTTGAGCCACTTTACTTAAATTTTCTGATTTGTAACCTGCCTTTTCTGATTTATTTGCATCAGTATAGAATGTAGGGGCTCCAGATATTGGTGTTCCCATACAATGTGAGCAAGGATCCAGTTAGTTCTCTTCGTAAATTGAATTTTCTTGCTTTTGGGATATTTGTTGTTTACTCTCCCAAAAATTACTATAAGCTCTTTGCCAAGGTTCACTTTCTGCCTATAATTTGTCAACTTCACCATTAATAAAAGGTACTATTTAAGTCCTTGTGCCCATCCACAGTTTTGAACAAATTGCTCAGTTTATCATTTTGTACCCCAATAGTGGGTCTTATATAGGAAGGGTCTCCTAACAATTTGTGAAAGTCACTAAGAGCCTGCAATTTCTCTCCTCTAGTTTTCATTTTTTGGGATCTAATTTTTTGTAGATCAATTTTACATCCTAAATAATTAATAAAATCTCCTCTTTGTATTTTTTTCAGGAGCAATTTGTAATCACCAACAAGGAAAAATTTTCTTTACTTCTTCAAACATTTTCTCTAAGATATCTATATATAAATTAGTTTATGAAAATACCATCCATATTAGAAACTATATTTATGTTTGGACTGAATATTTTTATGTATTGTTTATAAAGTCTTGTTAAATAAAAAAAATCACGCTTATAATGGTAAACTATTAATTGAGGAAATTGCTTAAGTATCATTTCCAATGGCTGTAGTACAAAATATTGGCTATTTAACATTCCCTGTGGAACAATCTTCCATTGATTTCTCTTAAGAGGCTGAAAATTATTGTAAGTAGACACATGAAAGCAAATTTTTCTCTGTCTTCTTCTTGTAAAGGTATAGTGAAGAAACATTCTTTTAAATCAATAACTATAAGAGGACATCCTTTAGGTAATAAAGAAGGCCATGGAATTCCAGACAGTAGAGAGCCTATTGGCTAAATCACCTTATTAACAGCTCTTAGATCTGTTACCATTTTCCAGATTCCTTTTTTATAACAACTACAGGAGAACTCCAAGGGATGATTGATTCTTCAATATGCTAAGCATTTAGCTGCTCTAGTACAAGCTCTTTTAAGGTCTGCATTTTCTCTGTTGTTAAAAGTCATTGCTCAACCCATACAGGTTTGTCTGTAAACCATTTTAAAAGTAGGGCTGTTGGTGCATTTGGAAGATCAGCAGCTGTTGTGCTGTTCTTGTACAACCTGAATGGTCAGTGACTATTTGATGGGAGATGTCATTCTGTAAATATGTTTCTCTTATTGGTTAATAACTAAAGCCCTGTTGGCCAATAGGGAAGCAAGAAAGGTGGAACTAGGAGACAAGGAGGATTCTAGGA